CCGGCCATGTAAATCCACTTTTGCAATCCACTTACATACCGACTTCCTTTGTTTTTTCTTATATTTATTTTCAATTGTGGTTTGTTTTGTTTTTTTTCTTTCTCTCCTGAACCACAATTTCGGGGCTAGGGGTGAAGAAAGAATCCATTGGCCCCTTAGAGAGAGGTGTTCTTCTCTCAGCACTACCACCAATATTTGTAACCCTCTCTCTTGAGGTTGGAGTATGAGTACCCCTTTGCCTCATAGCAACTTTAGACATATCATCATCATCAACATCATCATCTTCAAATTTTTTATTTTAGCATATTCCAAGCTGGATCTTTGTTACTAGAAGATTGGGAAGAAGACATTGCCCCAAAAATAAGTATAACAATATTATTATACAAGAAGGAATAAAAAGTTACCGACTCTGACTTCACGGCCTTCGAAATCTCCGATTTCTTATCACAAATTCACCTTAACATCCCCAAATCAATAATCAAAGCTTCAAATGAACATCCAAGTATCAAACAACCGCCAAATTGAAGATTTGGATGAAAAAAAAGTTTTCGCCAATTTTTTTTTCCCTCGATTTGATGCATAAATGTCACAAAGGTGGCTGGAAATCTTCGGAAATCTTCGTATAGGGGGTATAATAACCCCCCAAACAGTTTCCCTAACCTTTGGAAGTTTAAAAAGACCATTTTGCCCCCTCACCGAGGGGCAAAATCGATAACTTTTTCCACGAAAAATAGATGCGGCCATGATGCGGCACATTTGTCAAAAGCCCATATGCGCTAGTTTGTGATGCGGATGCATGCGCATCCCGCATGATGCGGCCTCATAGGCGGCGATGTGGCCGCATTTTAAAACACTGTTGACACCTCAAGTTATCTAACTTGTCGTTACTAGTACCTAACACACGAACAAAATAAGCATTACCCAAATACTCGACGAGGAACAACAAAACAATGGATTATCAGCAAAGAGAACAGAGTGTAGTGTTTTTCCATTCAAAACTGGAGAGGTATACAATTAATTAAATAACATTAGGTTAACAAGGCATCTCCCAAATGAACTTTTGGAACATGCGTATTGATTATTAGAGTACGGCCTTACTTCAAGTAAATGTTGGTTTTTTCTTTCCTCAATCCCATTCTGTTGGGGAATGTGCACACAAGAAGAAGCTTGATGTAAAATTCAATTTTGAGCAAAATAATTTTGAAATTCTCTAAAACGATGCTCTTTAGCATTATCTGAATATAAGACACATACATTCTTATTGAATTGAGTTTGAATCTCCTAAATATTTCTTTAATTAAATATAACTATGTTATAAGTGCATAATCATCCATGGAAGTTACAAAATATCAATGACCAAACAAGCTTTGTACTTTAGCAAGACCCCAGATATTGGTATGAATAAATGTAAACGGAACAAGTATCATATCTAGAAGGAAATGACACCTTGGTTGACAAGTCTCACATTTTAAGTAGATGCAAACTCTAAAGAAGGAACCAACGACTCCAAATTATTGAGAGAAAGATGGCCCACCAACAATGCCATAAGAAGGGAGAAGCAGCAGAGTGAAGAGCAACACCAAGCAGGTTATGATCTGAATAGTATAGGCCACCTGACTCATACCTGCCTCCTATTGTCCTCCTCATCCTTAGATCTTAAAAGACACAAGGAGCATGATAAATGGTTACGAAGCAGTGTAGATTTGGTTAATTTACGTACAGACGACAAACTGAAAGGAAACTTTAGAACATATAACATAGGGGGCAGGGAAAAGGAAGTAGGCAAAAACTTTATCCTGTTCAGACACAGTACACAGTGATCCATTAGCCAAAGTAACATGGGAATTAGGAATACACTTATCTAGAGATTCAAAAATAGAGGGCCCATCAGTCGTGGTTAGAAGTTCAATCATGTGGTCAGAAGCTACTGTGTCAATAACCCAATGAGTAGGTTTCTGATTTGCAAGTACAAAAGTACTTAAGTTAGCAAGGATGCAACAGAAGTGGAAGAGTGAAAAGTAAGTTGTTGTACTTGTTTAACAAGTTTATTATATTCTTCTCTTAAAAGCACAATCGATTCACCCGTAGAATTTGACTATTGTTGATGATCACAAGATTCATTCAGATAAACATTATCACTCTCATATGTGTAAATGAAGTATTTGCCCAAGCAGGCTTGCCAACTTTATCCCAAAACTTATCAATTGTATGATTTATATGCCCATATTGTGTACACTTTCAAGTTCCATGACCCCGGCCTCCACTACCTCTACCATTGCCTATTCCTATGTCATGACGATAGTTAGCAAGTCTCCGTTTAAAACACGATTTTTTCAAAAAATCTCCATTTTTTTGAAACCCGTTAAGAACTTCGAGTTTTTCAAAGATCTTAAAAATCACATTTTTTTAATGGAACTGATAGAAAGCAGTATTTTACCTTTTTTCAAAAAAGCTTTTCAAAAAAACTTCTTCCCTAAACTTTATTTCTTCATAAACTTAATATTATTGAATTTGCTTTTATAGATAAGCACATTAATAGTGGGGCTAAATTAAGAATCTTGATTTAACAAAATATTCCATTAAAAATTTCACCTATAAGTTCCCCTAGAAAAATTGTACAAAAAAATTCAAGCAATATATTCCCGAAAAAATAAGTTATCAAAACAATCTTATATCTCAAAATAATAGGAAGAGTTAGAAGAAGAGTAACCCATTGAAATATCTTTTTTCTTTAAATCCAGAGCATCCTTGTAAAGAGCAAGAGTGTGATTCAATTATACTAAAGGTTTAGGCAGCTAGGAGTTCTGTGTGAGATTTGAATTTGCTTAAGCATTTTGTTGCTTTCTTTATGCATAGAGAAGTTTGATTAATTTTATGTTTTACTTTTATTATATTGATGTATATAATATTGCATTTTGGATGGACTACTGTTTTACATATTTGGGTGTTTGTGTTTTGTTTTTAACTGCAATCTTATATTGAGGGTCTTTTTTTTTTTTTCTTTGAACTATAATCCTATACTTTGGTTTACAGTTCTTGTTATTTACTAATGTGGGTCTTATGTTTAGTATTATTCATGTTGTTTCATTTTATGCTCCTAATAAATCTATGGTATGTTTTGTATTGTGACATTATAGTAAGCATTGTTATTGGATTTATTTGTTACTCTAATGACACTAGGTAAGGCCATAAAATTATTGTTCAATAGCTTCCCACATACCTCTAAGGGCACTATGATATTCACTCACACTCTTGTTACCATGGTGCAATCTGAAATATTTTTTAAGCAGCTCATATGCCCCAGAGATATTCTTCGACTGAGGATTATTTGTTTAAGATTTATTTGTTACTCTAAGAACCTATTTGAGGTTCTTCCACAACCAAGTCATGATTATGTGATTCTCTTACATCCACTCTTCATATGTGTTATCAAATTGACTAGGCTTGTCCTCAGTCAAGTATTTCAATTTCCCTCTAGCACCAAAGGATACTTAAACATATTGAGTCCATACAACATAATTGGACTCATTTAATTTTGCTGAAGTCATTTATATTCCCACGTGTTCAGGTAGACTGAAGGTTCTCGGTTTAATTTCATTGGACATGAGTATATGAAATAAAAGATAAAGAAGACAACGATGGTCAACAGAATACAATCAATCACACCAAGTCTAGTGCAATACTAGCAACTTTTGGTTAGAAAAGAGAGAGGTGCTTATCATTCAGATCTGAGCATAGTCAATTTCTCACACTTGAACAAACTAGGGCTACACCACATTATCAAAATCTGAGCATCAATATTCTGGGGGATAATCCATGATTGCTCACAAAACTTGAATCTAGGCAACAATACCTCTATTGATATCAATCTTTAAACAAGAATCACACAAACAACAGCATCACCAAACTAAACACGGACCCACATTGGTTTTCTGCATACAAAAACTAGGAAGCAACCCTAGGGTTTAGAACGAATATCCCTAGGGAGTCACCCTAGTTTTTTTTTAATGATACCCCAATAATTGATCTTGAGTTTCGGCAAAAATAGCAGAGGCATAAAAAAAAATGTAGGTTAGAGATAGAGAAAGGATGAAGAGCAAGATGGAGAGAGAGAGAGAGAGGGAGAGAGACTGAGAGTGAGAGAGAGAGAGAGAGTTGAATAGAGTGGCGTGAGAGTGCAATAGACCTTAAGCACCTCTTATATCTGCTTTTCATACTATTAATGAAATATGAACAACAGAAATACTGCATTACAAACTGATAGGACATATCTATCCTAATAACTTAAATGAAAGAGAAATAAAGATAAAAAAGACTTTTATCATATGCTATTGAAAGGAGGGAGAGAGACATGGACCCCACATGAATTCACAATGTGAGAGAGAGAGAGAGAGAGAGAGTGAGAGAGAGAGTATTCCCTCTTTGGGCAGCATCGGCCTATACTGCTTGCCATTGTAGTGGGAGAAAGCTCCTATGGAGGGGCATGGGCCTGTAGTCCTTCACGTTGTAGAGAGAGTTTCTTTGATACTGTGAGGCCCATGGATCTCCAAGCCACGTAGAAGAAGTGGGGCACTGGTCTCATGGCTCTCCAAGCTAGACCAATAAAATAATGTGTTCCTTGGGGGCATGTGTTGGAATTACGACTGTCGAGAGAGAAATACCCCATTTGGGACATATGTCCTACAAGGGTTGCAATTGTAGAGAAAGTATTCCCATAAGGGTGTTGGTTCTTGGAATTGTAATAAGAAGAGAATATGTCCCTTAGGGGTGTGGACCCACATGGGTTGCAATTAGAGAGAATATACCTGTTTGGGTCTGGGCCCATCATGGCTTACAATTAGAGAGGAAGAGAGTGATATTATCACTCTTTTCTTGCAATCTAGAACTCTCGCATTAAGGACTCCTACTTGATGTTTCTGTGATGTATTGGGAAAATATGTTTGTTCCACTTGTCTAGGAACTGCAATTTACATAGACAACTTCTTGTTTCTTCGTTTCAGGTTGGTCCTCAAGCAGTGTTTGTTGTAGGTCGAGATGAAGACGAGGGTTCAATCCAAGCTGACCTTGAAGATGGTGATGATGATGCTGCTAGCTGGGAAACAGTCGACTCAGATGAGATGAGTGTTGAAAATGCCGATGAGGTAATTATTTAATTTATTTCTAGTATATTTTTTAATTTATTTTGACATTTATTATATTCTATAATTTCCTGTTTTTAATTAGGAAACTCAGGTGGGTGACATGCCAAAGGGACACTCTGACGATGATAGTGGGACTGTAAGAAGAGATACGCTTCACCAAGAACAGAATGTTTCAGAACAAAATGGTGGCCTATCAATTCCTCTTGCTGCGCTGGGGTTTGTTACAAGACTTGCTAGTGGCATTCTCTTCAGGGGAAGAAAACATGTTGAAACATTTGGATCAAACAGTTCTGAGGGTATGGCAAAGCCTGGGTTGCGGGATATTCTTGACGGATCTAGCAATGATGATGTGATCACCTCTGAAGAATCTAATAATGCAATCGCTAACCACGGTGCTTCCACCATGCCACCAAATTCAGCTAATACTATCTTGGAAGCCGCTGCAAACTCCTTAGGCAGTCCGTATTTTGAAGAAGCTAGTTCTATGGGTGATCCTGGCAGATTTAAACACTTCGATAGTGTTAAAGATTCTGTGGATCATTACTTCATTGGAGAAACTGGATGGGTAACTTTATACTCCTTTTTGACTTTGTAAATTAGTTTTTTTTTTTTGGCCATGCTCAGTTTCCTTCAAATCCGGCACACTTTCTTGTACGGTGAAATTCAAATACCTAAAGTAATTTCACACACCAGATTATGTAACCAAGCTTGTTTAAGTACATCTAGGCAAATGTATATGGAGTCATATTGGTAAAAAGGTTGTAGCTCATATTAATACCACACACGCAGAACTCCTTATGTTGACAATCCCTCTTTGCAGAATAACAATGACAGGAAATGGGTGAAGAAGATTCAACAGGACTGGAACATACTCCAGAAGAATTTGCCTGGTTAGTATTATATTTCCTATGTAAAATTGATACACTAAGATTCTTTAGGTCTCTGGCAGCCCTTGATCCATAATGCATGGATTCATTGTTTTATCTAGCAGATGCGATATATGTTAGAGTTTACGAGGATCGCATGGATCTATTGAGGGCGGTGATTGTTGGAGCCCATGGAACACCTTATCAAGATGGCCTTTTCTTCTTTGATTTCCACCTTCCCCCGGATTATCCCCAAGTTCCACCCGTAAGCAGCAAAATTATGAATATTCAGAAGTCAAATTTCACAGAGTTGCATTCTAGATTATTTCATGCTTTTATTGTATGGCTTGTTTTATTTTGCAAGTTCTGCAAGTGCAATCTGACTAATTTGCATGGCCTCTTTTTGATTAGCTGTATGATTCATTTTCTTCTTTCAGTTTATCATCTCTAACTGTTTATCCTAACCTACAGTCGGCATACTACTATTCTAGTGGCTTACGCTTGAATCCCAATTTATATGAGAATGGGAAAGTCTGCCTTAGCCTATTAAACACATGGACTGGCAAAGGAAACGAAGTTTGGGATCCATCATCTTCTAGCATCCTCCAAGTTCTTGTTTCACTCCAAGGTCTAGTCCTCAACTCCAAGCCTTACTTCAATGAAGCTGGGTATGATAAGCAGGTTGGCACAGCTGAAGGTGAGAAGAACTCAGTTTCCTACAATGAGAATACCTTCCTCCTGAATTGCAAGATGATGTTGTACCTTCTACGGAGGCGTCCCAAGGTAATCACCTGTTTGTTGTGTTGTGGACCTTCCTTTGTTCCCATGAAGACTAGAACAGTACCCCTTGGTTCTGATGATGCCCTTACTGTTTTCTAGCTGAACTAGTTTCAATTTCAGTGTCATTTCTTCGTTTTCCTATATTTTATGCTTGAAACAGACATTTGTGGTGACATCGCATTGTGGTTCATGATTGGAGCATTCCTTGAAACTCTAATTTTGTGAACATGCCACAGTTTGAATCCTTAAAATGCTGAGAACGCAATGGGATTAAAATTTTTACATGGGGATATCTGTAAATTAAATTATTTGATGCATCAGAGAAGTCCTTATTATTTTGGTGGTTTTGCCGCGTTGTTGGTTTGGGCCCAGTTTACTTAGTAGAGATTATGGTGATGTCTCCCTAATAATCATTTCTCATTGAATGTTGCAGCATTTTGAGGAATTCATTAAAGATCACTTTTGGACGCACGGTCATTTCATACTTGGAGCGTGTGATGCACATCTGAAGGGTGCCATAGTAGGGTCCCTCACAGAGGATGGCATTGTTTGTGAGCAGAGTGGGGAGAACGGAAGCTCAGTCGGTTTCAAGTTAATGCTGGGCAAGATTGTGCCCAGGCTGATCTCTGCTTTCAGCGAAGTTGGGGTAGACTGTTCCCACTTCTCTCACCTCGTATCATAGTAATTTTCTCATAGACTCAATTGTGAAGCTGATTGAGAGCTATCTTGTGCTGGGTTTTCCCTTGCCATGGAATTTTCCAAGTTCTTTGGTTGGACTGTTGTTGCGAAGTCGGCTGTCATGTAATTCCCATTCTTTATTTCTGAGTGCAGAGAGAATAGTTGGAGCAGAAGAGCTCTTTTGTTGTTGATGGAGAATGTGAAGTTCGTCATGAATAAATAAATGCTCGTTGTAAAATGCTTAATTCTTTTTAGTGTATGCAGATGTTGCATGCAAGAGTGCTGGTGATAAATGTTCATTACTCTTGATGGATTCTGGATGATTGATTGGGAGTGGACTTTTGCTTCGATAGCAAGCAATGGGGAGCTTTTAGCAGCCCTTCCATAATTGAAGCCTACCTTGGCCTGTTTTTTGGTGCACCATCATTTGGGCATGGGACGCGCTCAAATCCTTTTGGTGAGGAAATGATATTTGAATTGCTTGGATGAAGATCCTCTTTTGAGAGTGGTGTTATTTTGGGGTTTCCATCTTGGCAATTGTAATGAAATTTATTATGTAGATGACTTCATTTGCTGTGTTTTTTTTTTCTGGGAATATGATATGGACCAATACTAAACATTCAGGTTGCATTTTGGAAATAGCAAAGAGTGCATAATGTTATCGGGCCTAGCAATGCACCAGGCTAATGTAGGCCCGAGTCTGTCCTAGGACCCAGAAGCCGAGAAAAATGTACAATTTGGAAGAGAAAATTTGAGAATTATTTATTGGATGGGGTTTGTATAAGGTTGCCTCCTTATACTGTAGAAGTGAGGTGTGCCTCTAAAATTTGCTTAGAGATGTCGTTTTGGTATTAGGAACCTTATGATGACTTGACAATCTATTTTGATTTTTAGCTATAAAATTTAAAATTTCAAAAAAAAGTACAGAACGAGCAGATGAAGAAATATTTGAAAATCTGTAAAACAAATGGTTTAGAAACCTGTTGTGTGATGTACTATTTCTTGGACTTGGAATTCTATTTTTTCGATATATCTATGCATCTCATGGTTCATATGGTCAATTGGAGGGCGGCTCCTTATCTTGAAACACTCTGTTGTGGGACTTTTGAAGTGTACCTTATTTCAATAGTATAAAGTTGCAACATTGTATAAACTTTTTTATTATTTATTTATGTATATGTAAATTATCTTATTACATATATAATTGTGGCTGTTGTGGTATTTATACTACTTATTTTAGTTGGACAATGTAGGCTTGATATGTACTTCAGAAAAGGGGTTGGAGTCATAGTGGTAGCATCTTCACACCCAGTTACCACATTGTGGTATCCATTTCTACCGCTGATATAATTAACACCTTTAAAAATATAACTCTCTAATCACTTGAAAAAATGGGTAGGAGCTTCTCTTTCTTATTGAATTACCCAAAAAAAAAAAAAAAAATTGTTAAAATTTGACATTATATTTAAGGCAATATCAAATTTACATAGTTTGATTAAAATGGATGGTGTAGATTGCTGTAATTTTAATTCAAGTAATGTTGCCATCTTATACAAACTTTTTTCATTTACATGGCTGGCATTGGCCCAAAAAAAAAAAAATGACAACACCAAATTTACATAGTTTGATTAAAGTTGATGGTGTAGATTGCTGCAATTTTAATTCAAGTAATGTTGCCATCTTATACAAACTTTTTCATTTACATGGCTGGCAGTGGGCTTGGTTCAACCTTGGCGTAGGTCTGGACTGGGCCAAAGAGGCCTTGGCTTAGGCCCGGCCGAGCCTATTAATTTCAAAGAGAGAAGAGAAAAGAGAAAAACATACACTCATAGTCTCATTATTTTATATCAAAATATTAAAATATATCTTGAAAAAAATTATATTATAATGAAGAATATTTATATTGAGCAGTTCAAAACTACAAGTTCGTTTGATTCAACCTAAATTAAAATGGAAAACTTTTGTATGCGTTGGGGTAAACATTCCAATATTTGCAACCCCGGAGACGTAAAGCATCCATCTTAAAGATGGTGCATATGGATTGTCCATCTAAAAAAATGTGAAAATTAATAGTCTATAATTTTCTTCACAATACAATCATTTTAAATTTTTTTATTTTTACATATTCATGGTCTTCATGTCAAAGATTAAAACTTAGGTCCAAAATCCCTCTTAAAAATGAATTTTTTAATAGGGGACACATTTCTATATATGAGTCGTAGGACTCTCATAGAAACCTTGTCAAATTAAAATGCCCAGGTGATCCTGGATCTCACTCTCGTACCCTCTTTCGCACATTCCAACCTAGAAGAACCTTTCAAGCACGCAATCTCTTTTTCCGGATTGCCGGAAAAGGTTCAAAAATCAGATCCTTCTGCTAGGCCTACTGTAACAATTAGCATTCCTCTACGGATTATTTTTTGTTCCTAGTTGTAATCTAGGGGAGTTCTCTATATGTGTTTGCTTGTAGATCGTGATGTTGCATGTGCTTTGTGCGGTTGGAGTATGAATTAACGAAACTCAACATTAAAAAAACAAAAAACAAAAAAAAAGAGTCAATGAAACTCGACTTCTCTGCATTGATATGTTTGCAAATTGAAAGAGTTATAGAAGCACATTGAGATACATATTTCATGTGCGTATTTTCAAATGAAAAAATAATGCTATCTATTTAGGTTTCCATCCATGATTTGGATTTTTCTCATCAATAAGGCCTTAATTTTTATTTTTATTTTAGTGCAAGTTTATTTAAAACGAAACGATTTATAGTACATTTAAGTACCTATCTGCCCATGGTTAATTTTATATACATATTGCTCTATAGTTTTTGGATTATTTATTTTTTTGTAATTTTATTGTGGATTGCTTATGTATAACATAAATAACTAATATTATTTGCATTGAAAAGCAGGTAGTTTTTTTTAGTAAAAATTAATGCTATTTGCACCGAATAGGAGTTAAGTTTTTTAGTAAAAAAATTGACTGCAAAATTGCTATGGTATTTATTTATAAATGAAGTATTAATTTATAAATAACAATAAAGTAATGATTTATCATAATTCTATTAACATAATGCATTTGTTTGAGGACTCTAACATCTCAGTCGTGGTCACTGAAAGAGCGAAATGAAATTTGCATTTCGCTGTAAGAGTGAAATTTGCATTCTTTTTCAATGGAGCAGCAGAATTTAGATGGGAGGAAGTTTTATAAGACTCCTCCCACGTAAATCAAAAGCTGAGGAGATGGATGCTTGGATCAACTAAAAGCACATCTGTCTAATTTAACATGTTTTGACCAAACAAATGTGACCATAACGTATCGTGACCACGAGTTACCAAGTTACAAGGGTTTGGAAGATGCAAGTAATGATTGTGATGTAACATGTATGTTATGAAGGGCTTCTCAGTATATATTTCAAACGTTTGGAAGATGTTAGAAAGTTAAGGAAGCCTAATACATCATCATCAAAGCTTTATCCCAACTAATTGAGGTCAACTATATTTCGCCATTCTGCTTTATTAAGGATCATACCTTTAATAAGATCATAAATACTCATATATTTTCTCACAATGCCATAGCATGAGTAGATAATGTAGATTCAAGATTCATAAATCATCAATTTCTATTTGACAGTTTCCACCTCAAAAAACCAAATAAAAACTTGAATAATAAAAAAGAATGAAAATAAAAAAGCGGGGTAAAAAAACATAACAAAAAGTGCCAAAGAGGCCAAAACTTTGGCTGAAGTGGCGAAAGGAGCGAATCGATTATACAGGGCTTCATTTCACTTGGTCTGGGCCGAAAACCTGAAGACTTTGGCCCTTTCGACATAAATGAAGCGAATACTCCTACATACCTCTGACAATGTTTTGTACAGTGGGAGTATGGAAGATAGGAAGGTTAAGCATGGTTATAAAGTCCAGGCGCCCTTCTAAAAGGAGTTTGATCCAATAGATATCAGATCATGACGAAATTTGCATGATTGGTTGATGTGGGCTTCATAGGCCTGTAAGCTAGGTTTCATTTCGTAAGTTGAAGTTGAAGACCAAGGGATAAGCAAGGCGCTACAAGCTTTGGTCGCCCCTGCTATAGGCTGGGCAAGAGGTCCACTTCACATGGATTTGAAACTTCACAAGTGGTTGGGATGATACTCCTAAAGGATTGTATATAATGAGATCATATGCTTTTGGTACAACGAGGTCACAAATACTTACAACAATATGATGTGAAATCTAATAGCTTGGGTGGGTTACAATACTTACAACCATCGGATGTGAAATCTAATAGTTTGGGTGTGTTGTAAAGTTTGAAAAAATTTCTTTTGAACTTTGAGTTTGGTCAATGAAATAAACACAATAATCCAATTTCACATCCAGTGGTCAAGATTAATTGTGACCATCTTGTACCAAAGGTAAATGGTCTTGTTACATATTTTCCGTACTCTTATACCTAATAGAAATTTTCGTGATTGATTGGTTTTCAAAGGGCCGAATAACTCTATAAACATGGTTATCATTGTAATAAGCTTTGTCACTGCTCTTATATGTTTGCCTAGTGGTTCAACACAGAGCCTAGTGAGATAAAGTTGGGATGCATTTGAAATATCATAAATAGTTGGAATGATGTTCCTAAAGCCTACGTTTCAAGTTCTATGAATCAGTTTTTATCAACTATATAAGCTTGGATACGGCTCCAGTAGGCTTGGCCAGCAGCTCAGATGGGTCTGAGATTTCACATGGAGCTAAAATACACCTAAGCTTATACATCAAGTTTCATGAGGATTTTTTTTTTTGGGTAAATCAAAAGGAATATTTCAGTCAGGTTTCATGAGGATTGGATGATGTTTGAAACCTTTTCTAATTCTAATCCATTATTAGTTTGCGTGATGCCCTATGATCTGGCAGATGAGCTATAAATTTACTTTCTTAGATTGATGTGAAATTTTGGATAACTGATGTTTAAAGCATCATAAATCTACCCACTTTTTCATCCACTGTGGCTTAAGATTTTATCAGGAGTTAATCAGCATTGGCCAGTGAATACTTTATAGCTTGATCAATGGCTCATTAATGTATTTGTGTGTATTTTGTATTAAGACATCTTACATGGCATCAAATTAGTCTGGACAGATATGGAGCATAAGACCCCGGAATATTGTAGGGATGGAGAATTTCCACGATTTAATTTCCACACCAAAATCTGTTTTTGAATTTTCAATGCCTATGGATTCCAATCCTCGGCCCCTCAACCCGAAACATAAGGCACATTTGGTAGCTATGAAAATTTTAGAGAGAGAAAGTACTTAAAAATTTTTAAAGAGAGAAATTATCTCAAATATTTTAGAGAGAGAAACTATCTCAAAATTATAAGTCTTAGAGAGAGAAAGTATGTTAAAAATTATAGAGAGAGAAACCATATCAACTTTTAAATAGAGAAAATACCTAAACAGTTTTAAAAAGAAAAGCTATCTCAAAATTTTTAGAGATGAATTTTCTCAAATTTTAAGTTTTAGAAAGAGAAAATATCGTAAAATTTAAAGAGAGATAAACTATATCATATTTTAAAGAGAGAAAGAACTTAAAAAATTTGAGAGAGAGAGACCATCTGAAAATTATAAGAGAGAGAAACTATCACAAATTTTAAATGAATTATCTCAAATTTTAAGTTTTAGAAAGAGAAAATATCTTAAAATTTAAAGAGAGATAAACTATATCATATTTTAGAGAGAGAAAGAACTTAAAAAATTTGAGAGAGAGAGAGACTATTTGAAAATTATTAGAGAGAGAAACTATCACAAATTTTAAATTTTAAAGAAAGAAATTATCTCAAACTTTAAGTTTTAGAGAAAAAAAAACATCGTAAAATTTTAGAGAGAAAAACTAAATCATATTTTAAAAAGAGAGTACCGAAAAAACTTAAGAGAGAGAGACTATCTCAAAATTATGAGAGAGAGAGAAACTATCACAAATTTTAAGTTTTAAAGAGAGGGTACCTTAAAATTTTATGAATAATAAACTATATTAAATTTTGAGAGAGAAAGCACTTAAAAATTTTATAGAGAGAAATTATCTAAAAAGTTTTAAAAAAATAATTTCAAATTTTAAAGTTAAAAAAAAAAAATTAAAAAAATAATCTTCGTACTATTCGCTATTTTTAACTTTCATTTCTCGATGCCATAAATTATTTCTTGTAACCCCGCAAACTTTACTCACTTTTGATTCTCTTTTTTTTTAACCTGTACAGACATCTGTTATTACCCAAAACTCTATCCATTTCTCTTTACGTGTTTCCCAAACCCCACTCTCTCTCTGTCCGAGCAAGTAACCTCTCTCTCTCCATGCGTATGCAAACATCTTCAGACTCTCTCTCCCTTTACTTTCTCTCTCATCACGAATGGAGGGACTTCGTTTTTTTTTTTTTGAAGACCAAAATTTTATTTTATTTTATTCCAAAATGTCCTTTTTATTTGATTAAACCTATGAAAAATCCATCTAACGTAGGTATCATTTCCTGATTCAATGAAGAGAAAAAACTAACAAGAATAATTTTAGATTCATTACAGCATTATCATATCCCAGGAGAAGTTAAAATCCCACTGTAAATTTTCCCCACAGTAATAAGCAGTACCGACATCAGTGCAACGGTGGCTACTTGGACAACCACACGAGCTCCCATAAGTTTCTGAACCAACTGAGAATTTCGTTGCCTGAATCTGATTAAGCCCACAGTAAGAATCCCTGCAGTTAAAAGTGCACCGATTGGTATGAGGGGCTTTCTGACGCGCTTCTTCTGATCGCCAAAAAAGTCTTTCTGTTTCCGAATGGGGGATCCCATCCCAGTCTCAGCCGAAGAACCCATCTTTCAAATTTCACAGAGACACGCTACTCATTACTCTCTCTCTCTCTCTGCTTTTTCGTTTCCATGGAGTCCAATTTCTTGCTTTATTATTCGTTTGTTTTGTAGACATCCCACCATTTCTTAACCAGCATCTTTATGTCTTCTCTCTGCATGCTCTCTTCCTTGCCGGTGTACCTCCCTGGCTTCAACCCTGTTCCAACAATCACCACAATTGACCTTCTTCAGCTCCACATTTTCCACATGGCGCCACAACATGGCCATAACCAGATTGTAAACCAGAAGAATCGCCGTGTAAACATCCTTGAAGAATATGGTCAAGAAGTACTCAAAAAAATTAAACCAACATAACCCATTAACACTTTCATTCAAACCTAGAGAGAGGAACACACCCAAAATTGTAGAGTAACCTAGAGAGAAACACACCGAAAATTGTAGAGTAACCTAGAGAGAAACACACCCAAAATTGTAGAGTAACCTAGAGAGAAAAACACACCCAAAATTGTAGAATAACCTAGAGAGAGAAAACCAAAAATTGTAGAAGTTAAAGAGAGGCATAGATGGATCACCCAGGTGAGACAGCCATTGAACCTTGTCTGATCACTGTTGGCAATACCCAGTCTTGTATTGAGGGGTGTGAAAAACTTTTAGAAGTGACCAGACAAGATCAGGAAGATGGGAAGAAGTGGGGAGAGTGAGAGCCCATATGAAGCAAATGGAGTTAAGGAAAGAGCCCGGGTGTAGTTGGATTGAGTTAGGGGCAAAGTTCATGGGTTTTTGCAGGGGATTATGCAAGGGATTGAAGGTACCCTATCTTTGATGAAATCTATAAAAAAACATGGAGAGTTTTTGAGAAGATTGAGATCAAAGGTCATCAATGGCTTCCTTTTGCAAGCAGAGAGATGTTGGGAGAGAGGGGGTAGAAAGAGAGTAGCGGATGCATACACTTGTAGATAGAGAGAGAGGGTTTATTTACCCCCTAAAAAGAGAGAGAGAGAGTTAGGTAATAAAAGACCTGCCTTTTCAAATTTGTTTAGGTTAAAAACAAGAGAGTTAAAATGAATAAAGTTAGTATAGGGATTTATTAAAAATAATAAATATGTTTTAAAACTTTGGGTTTAGTGAAAAATAAAAACTCAAATGCACGAAGTATGGAGATATTTTCTCTTAAAATTTTATAGATATAAATTATATCAAATTTTAGAGAGATAAATTATATCAAGTTTTAAAGAGAAATTATCTCAAAATTTTTAGAGGGATTATCTCAAATTTTGAGTTTTAGTGAGAGAATATATTAAAATTTTAGAGAGAGAAACTGTATCAAATTTTATTACCAAACAATGGACATGGAAATGATCATAAACAATCTACAAATTTTGTATAGTTTATCCAAGCAAAAAATTTGAAGAATCCATGACAAGAATACTTTATACTAAAAATCCATGGACTTGGCCACTTTGGATAGAAGGAAATTAGAGATCTTGGATATTTGAAACCCAAGAAAATCTATGGATTTTCCAT